CCCACATAGGAACGAAAAAGGGCTAGGTATCTGATTAGCGGAGAAAAGCAGCAGAAAAACAGCCGAAAATGCCCTAAATAGGATTCCATATCGACCCCAACTTGTACATGCATGCAATGAAGAAAACGCATGTTTGTACGAATTTCCACTCGTCGTTATCAGATATCAGCTCTTTTATCGTATCACCTCACTCTCACCATTCGGAATGGAGAGAGATAGCATAGTGGCTACTAGCTAGTAGCTAGCAGCCGGTGGGGGTCGGCATGGGCCTAAGGGCCTGCTGGCCTAAATTGATTAGCTTTTGAAAGCGGGAAAAACTTCCTTGCCGGATTTTCACTTTCTAAAGGTAGCGCAGCCTCCGCAATCTCCTTCCGGATCGTCTGACACATTTGAAAGGTCATAGCCTTATTTTATCGCGGAAAGTGCCTTTAACCTGCGAGTGACTTTTTCATTTTTTGAATGTTACGTGGGACCTTTCCTCTTGGGACAAGTGTCATCTGTCTTGTGCTCGACAAAGAGAGACACGACTGTCCCAAAAAAAGGCTATATATCGCCAAAACCGCAGCGATTACCAGGTCTGACGAAGTACAGCCACGCCCTCACCATTCCTAGGTACAGGGTATGCTCGATGGAATCTTTTGGGAGAAGCCGTCTCACCTCTGCTTCAGCAGGATCAGCAAATCCCAGACCGTCATGCAGACCACCACCATTCACGTTGATAACTGCTGGGGAACTCTGAATTAGTATCCTTAATGACTCAAAAAAACAGTGCACGAGAAAAAGTCAACATACCGGGGCTTGGATTTGTACTGCTCCATACAGCCGTTGGAAGACGTGAATTGCTCTCGTAACCCATCGACTTCCCTATGACAGTCCTTTCAGTTTACGTCGCATTGACTCCAATTCTTCTTCGTACTAGAACAAAGAGCTTTTATAGTGCACACGACGACAAGAACAGACTGGCGCAGTTCAGCGACGAGGGGCATTTTTCACTTCTGCTTCTTCCCATCGACGAGTCAACACATCTAGAGCCTTTGCATGAGGTGACAGGTTTCACGACTGTGGCTCGATGGCCAACGTCCTCGCAGCTTCAAGAATTAACATGTTTCATCAGGTAAAGTATACAAACCGGGACTAGTGGGGCAACAGAAGTGCAAAAGCCCCCGTCGCCGAACTGCGCCGAAAAGGATGGCAGTCAGATCAGCACACCTCGATATCCACAACTGAAATGTGCGCAGTGTGAAATAAGCAGCGAAAACCAGTTATGATGAAATCGGTAATTCTCACATAATAAACCTCTCTGACTGATCAACAACACCAGTCAGTCACCTCTTCTGATTGGCTCTTATTTCTCTTAGTTAGTAGGTCAAATGTTTAACACTTCTGCCACTCGAAGATGTTAGATGGAACCTTTTATTGGCCTAACGTTTCGACCTTCTCGTCTTCTTCAGAGGCCTGAAAATGGCTCGAAGCTTTCAATTTGTTCACCTACCCGACCAAACGCCCTTCCCACTCTAGCGTTTTCTACCTCGTGTCTCGATCGCTCCCTAGCAACCTAGTAATAACTGCGAACAACTCAGTAAGGCTAGTAAGGCGAGTGAGTCTCTTTTGAGTATCGGATTTCCTCGTATAATTCAAACCAAATATGTAACCAAGTAATGCTGGGAGTAATGCTTTCCTTCCTCACAAAATTGCTCACATAAAATTTTGAACAGTAGGATCATATGGTTAGATAGGTAAATCTCTCAGTACATACCCCATAATTTGGAAGAAGCGTCCACGTCGTAGAGTTTTGTTTTGACTCAACAGCCTCTTCAACGTCCGGTAAGATTTCGAAGAGCTCGACTCCAATTCTGAGATTCGAGTCCGCGCCATATCGAGCGCGTCAGTCTTCTCATTCAATTCCACATAAAGCTGTTTGACCTCTCTTTGTAAGCTCCCGTACGGCCTGAAAACAAGTCAAGTTTATTGAAGATTAAAATGCATTATTTCTCCATATTCTCCTCTTTTTCTCTACTCACTTTCTTACTATCGCTATCGTGCTTGGCAGCTGCTTTACGGAAGCCTTCCTCGTTTGCCTCTTCTAGGGCCTTAATCTGAAAGCATTCAATATGACAACGCTGGTGATCCTTGGGAACACTGTACGAGTACATAATTGGGAAATTCGCAAATGATCATAAAGATTGATACCAATCTTCCCAATATAGTAACCTTTTTCTTCTGACATCCCTAAAACTCTAGTTGTCTGGAGAACAATAGGAAACTAGTCCAAAAAAAGTCGATACACGTGATATACCTTTTTCTCGAGTTCCTTCAGATTTTTATCGCTTTCCTCAGCACGAGCTCTCGCTTTCTCTTTAGATTCGGCAAGTTCTTTGTTCTTCTCATCCAGCAATCGATTTTCCGTTTCCAACTCCACAATGCGTCTTTCAATACTCTTGACGGAGTCGTTCAACTATTAAAAACAAAAGTGAGTAAGGAAAAACAATCCTATCCAGCTAAGTGGCCCTGGTGGTGTAATGGATAGCGCACTCGCTCGAAAAGCATGATGCGGGTTCCAGTCCAGCTTGCGGCCAGGCTTTAGCCCATAACTGTTTTCTTGTTGATAACATTCTATCAAGTACAATCCTAAGGGAAAGTGGGGTGTGATTAGATTGAGAGGTGGCTTAAACTAGCCGCTCACCCCGCTCAGATCCCCAATTCATAAGTGATCAAATACATCAGTACCTCATTAATCGATTTCACTCAAAAATTCACACTCACTTCTTTTTCCTTTGACCGACGTTGTTCCATTCTTCTTCCTCCATTTCTTCGCTGTCGCAATCACTGCTGCTCTCCGTCGAGCTTTTTCTACTAGAGCTCATGCAAAACTTCGGCGATCACGTTCAGAAATAGTGCGTCGTACTGATCCATCCTGAATGCATATGTGCCTGTAACAGGTTGGTCGTAATGTTCTGGGGCACTTGCGACATTGCCCGAAGAACTTATTTGGTTGACCAGTGAGCTCAATACCATATTACTGACCTGTTCATATTCTACCACGAGCGCTCTGCTCTCCCCGCTCTTAGACTGGGTTCTTACTTTGCGGCAGAGTCCACCAGCGATCACTAGCGATGATCAGCGTCTCAAGAGTCCGTCAGCCTCAGCGACAAGGAAAGTGTAGATATCGATCTAGCGAACGGTAGCGTCTGCCACGTCCATCAGCGACCAGGAGTAAGGTATTGGGTAGTAGTTCCTTACGTTGGCACGCCCTACAATTTCACGACGCCTAACAGGTGTTTCCTCCCTCCTACTTCCGGTATTCTGCTACTCTCCTTCTTCCCCATACTCTCTACTCTTGGTCGCAGGTGGACGCTGGTAGACGCCAGATCTATATCGATACTGGTCCTCCAAGACGCTGACGGTCGCTGCCGGACGCTGGTGACCGCTGGCAGATGCTGGTAGAAGCTGCCCTTCGCTAGTTCGATATCTATAATTTCCTGAACGCTGATAGTCGCCGGTGGACACGGGTGGACACAGCCGCGAATTATGAAAGCAGCCTTAGATAGCTGCTGCTCGTGGCGTTCTTCCTTTGCCCCACTTTCTGACGCCTCAACTTACGCATTTGAGGACTGGATTAGGCGACCACAGCAGACGAATATGGGTCTTTTACGTCAATTATCCGCGCAAGCGACTACGACTTAGGCGGGAAGACAAAGGAGTCTCAACGCCTTGATCGAAGCACAAAAAGGACATCTTGGCGGAATGTCAAGTGAGTGGTTCATTGGGAGCTACGGCCATACGGTCCTACTATCAGTGGTAAGATGAGCTGTGAACGGAGTGGCAACTAAGGGAATACAGAGGAAAATCTTTTTCATGCATGACGGCGCACCACAATGTTGACTTAGATGAAGCTGTGCAGTCTCGACTGGACCGGTCTTCCCCCATCCACCACCTAGGCGTTTTGACTGGCCGTCCAGCTACCACCGCTTTCGGTCTCTGGGTCAACATGTGGGAAAACGCCAATTCATTGACAGAGATGGCCTCAAAGTGAACCTTCCGCCGTTCTTTACCGCAGTCCTCAAGACTTCTACAAGAAAGAAATCTACGGTTTTGGGGGACGCTGACAGCGTGGCGCTGATACTGATGGAGGGTACGAGATTGATAACTAAACACAACAGAATAGACCCTTTTTGGAATGAAATAAAGGTGCCTCAAATGATCGGTCAAGCTAATATATTGCGTAAAAGTATGCGAGACAAAGAACGAACCTCTAGAAGAAGTTCCGCTTTTGCGGACGTGACGTCCTTTTCGGCAGCAGCTTTGACCTTGGCTATTTTCTTCTCGGCTTTCAATTTGAAATCTTGTATGGCCGTGTCGGATTCCTGTAAGTTCGAAGTTCAAGAGAAAAGGACAACAGTTCTAGGAAACCATTACAATCACTCACCTCTTTCTGTCTCGCAGCCTTTTCTTCGTACTCCTTCTTAATTTGATCGAGTTCGTTTTTCAAACGATGACACTCGGCCTCAGCTGCTTCCGTTGCGCGTATGCGATGGTGAGCCTCCTCCAATTCTTTCTTAACGTTTTCTAGGGCGTTAGCG